ATATATGGCAAGGCTATAAAAAAAGTTTTAAAAGACTAACTTCTTAATAGCCTTAATTTGATTAATCAGTGCAATTTCACAATTTATGTCAAGCATAGGGGAAAAATATCCAGAAGTTCTCTTAAATGGCATCTTCATTACTTTAATTTACACTCCGAGTTAATTCAAGAAAATTATATTTTTAAATTTAGACTTAATGGCATATAGCTTACTCTTAGAGGCCCTGCATAAATACATCATTAAATTTTGTGTTTAGTGTGGAAAATAACAACTCCTATTTTGTTCAGGCTCACTGAGGAAAAGGGGGTAAGTGCCCAAGATGTGTGTAATTAATTCTAAATAAGAGTGTTGAATATACCATTGTTGTTGTTGTTGATTGTCTTTTAGTTGAGCATGATTCATAGCGACACCATGAACAAATGGCCTGAAGTCCTTCTACAACTATCAGCATTTATCAAAGTTCATAGTTTCCAGATTCATGTTATTTAGGAAGTCGATGCCACTCCTGCTTCCAAACATAATATTCTGTGATATTGGCCCAAAATACTGACTGCTTCAAATATTCCCAATTTATAAATAGGAAGAAACAAACAAAATACTTTTTCATGCAATTTTATAGGGTATTTGTGTAGGTCAAATAAAATATTAGAGGTACATCGGGGTCAAATAACAAATGTCCTTGACGCCCTCCCATGGGCAGCACATGTGTACTACCAGTCACACTGGCCATGATTCCATGTGGCCTGTGAACATTTGCAATGTGGCTACTGTGATCAACAAACAAAAATTTAAATTTTATTTCAAGGTAAATTACCAAAACTTATTGAGCAGTACAGAAAACTAGAAGTATATAGGTTGGTTCTGGTGAAATCTAGGGACCAGCAGCCTCTGATTTAGAAGAGAACCAAACCTGTCATTTAAGAATGTGCTGGACTTTCAATGTGACTCCCACTGCGACTCATGAATGTGTCTGCTCGCCACAGACTGTCAAAAAACAGACAACTCTGTCTTGGTGAAAGTTTAGTTAGAATGTTCCTTAGAAGCAAGAACGGTGAAACGTCATCTCAAATATTTTGAGCATATATCAAAAGGGGCCAGTCCTTGGAGAAGGACATTATGCTTGAAAAAAGCAGGACAACAAAGGAGAGGGAAAGCCTCAAAGAAAGGAATTGCTACAGTGAGCACAGTGGACTTGAGCACAATGGAGATAATGAAGATGTTGCAAGATCGTCAAAAGATTCCATCTATTGTACAGTCATTATAAATATGTATTCATGTTGTTGTTATGTGCCGTCGAGTCGCCTGTGACTCATAGCGACCCTATGTACAACAGCCCTAAACTCCGCTCGTCCTGTGCCAATCGCACTGTCTCTGACACTCCCATTCCAATTATCCCAGTCACTGAATCAATCC